TAATAATGATGTAGGTATGGAGGTGGACCAGCCTAAGGTTGTTGCTTCTATAGACCAACTTAAGCTTGGTACAACATCCAATAGGACTGAAGCAAGCATAGTCGATCCAAGTGAAGCTGGCGAATACATCTCAAAAGGGTCTACAAAGGGGAGTTTCTCTAACTCTATTGATTTTCCTACTCTAATTCCCTCTGTTGTTCAACCCCCGACTTTGGAACTAAAAGATTTACGTCCTAACCTCAAGTATGCTTATCTTGAGCCTGAGAATAAGTTGCCTGTTATTATTTCTAGTTCTTTAACTGAGCATGAAGAAACTAGTTTAATAGGAGTTCTTAGAAGAAATAGGGAGGCATTAGGTTGGCAATTAGCTGATATTAAGGGAATTGACTCTACTGTTTGTACCCATAGGATTTTACTAGCTGAAGATTCCAAGCCAATTAAACAAAGCCAAAGGAGATTGAATCCTTTAATTTTTGATGTGCTAGGAAAGAAGTAGACAAACTTCTAAGAGTTGGAATCATATACACTATTTCTGATAGCAAGTGGGTGTCACCAGTACAAGTTGTGCCAAAGAAGAGTGGAATCACAGTAGTTAAAATGAGAACAATGAACCCATCCCAACTAGGGTGCAAAACTCATGGAGAGTTTGTATTGACTATAGGAAGCTGAATGATGCCACTAGGAAAGACCATTTTCCCTTACCTTTAATTGATGAAATGCTTGAACGATTAGTGGGGAAGAGTCATTACTGTTTCCTAGATGGATATTCTGGATATTTCCAAATTCCTATAGACCCTAGAGACCAAGACAATACCACCTTCACTTGTCCTTTTGGAATCTATGCTTACAAAAGAATGCCTTTTGGTCTTTGCAACACTCCTGGCACATTCCAACGCTATATGCTATCCATTTTTTTTTCCTGAATTTATTGAAAAATGCATGGATGTGTTCATGGATTATTTTACTGTTTATGGAAATTCTTTTGAAGACTGCTTGAAAAGTCTTGACCAAATTCTAGCACGATGTATTGAGAAAAAGTTGGTTTTGAATTATGAAAAATGTCATTTCATAGTTCATCAAGGCATCGTGCTAGGTCATTTAATCTCTGAAAAAGGAATTGAGGTAGATAAAGCCAAGGTAGAGGTGATATCTTCTTTGCCCTACCCAACCAACTTGAAAGAGTTGAGGTCCTTTTTAGGACATGTGGGGTTTTATAAAAGGTTCATCAAGGATTTTAGTAAAATTGCTTTACCCTCTTTCCAAACTGCTGCAGAAAGATATTGAGTTTCAATTTGACCATGCATGTGAGCTTGCTTTTGATGAATTGAGGAATAGGCTAGTTACTCCTCCTATTTTGACTTCTCCCAATTGGGATTTGCCTTTCGAGATTTCTTGTGATGCTTCGAACTTGAGTGTGGGGCAATGTTGGGTCAAAGGGAGAATTCTGTTTTGAAAGTGATTGCTTATGCCTCTAAACTCTAGATGTAGCTTAGAAAAAACTATACCACTACTGAGAAGGAATTGTTTTCAATTGTTTTTGCACTTGATAAGTTTAGACCATACCTAATAAATTTCAAAGTGGTTGTGTCTACAGATCACGTAGCAGTAAAATACCTTTTCCACAAACCTCAACCAAAGCCAAGGCTCTTGAGGTGGATGTTATTACTTTAAGAATTTGATGTGGAAGTGAAAGATAGAGCCAGAAATATCAACCATGTGGCAGACCACCTGAGCAGACTACCTTTAGAAACCAAGAGAGTACTCAATTCTGATATTATCTGTGATTCATTCTCTGACCAATCTCTATGTGCATTGTCTATTTCTCAACCATGGTTTGCTCACCTAGTTAACTATATTGCTACTGGTCTAATCCCTTCTCACTTGACCACCTTTCAGGTCCAAAAGCTTAGGAGTGAAGCTTCCTATTATATATGGGACCCACCGCACTTATGGAGGTTATGCTCTGATCAAGTGATTAGACGATGTATTCCAGAGGTAGAGGCTCGAGCCATTCTGGAGGCTTGCCATGATACCTTATGTGGGGTGCACTTTAGTGCTAGAAAAACAGTTAGGAAGGTTTTAGATGCAGGATTTTACTGGCCCTCCTTATTTAGAGACGCGTTCACTTTTTGTAAGGCATGTGATAAATGCCAACAGTTTGGGGGGGTTAGTAGAAGGAACGAAATGCCACAACAACCTATTTTGTTCTGTGAGATCTTTGATGCTTGGGGGATAGATTTTATGGGCCCCTTTTGTCACACCTTACTATTATATCCACTTAGGTTCCTTTCAAAACTATTTTAGACCACATTGGATGGTCTTGGGCTCACTTTTTACCTTAAAAATGCTAAATTCCGGATTTTTACCGTTCATCAGGTAAAAATACAGTTTTTCTGGCCCAACTTCAAAAATTCATAACTTATTCCACAAAAGTCCAAATGGGGTGGTTTAAAATTCTACTTAAATATCTTTAAGTCCTCTTTCAAGGAAAAATAATCTCATGATCCAATTCCTTATGAAAAAGTGTCAGATTTTTGTGAAATACAACACTGTCCATTTGCCAAAAATCCTTTTTCCCAGATTCTAACCTTTAACTTTGAAAAATCATTAAAATTCGTATACTTGGCCTTTTTTAACATATTAGCCATCAAATTGAAGCTCAAGACGTTATCTATAATCATGCCAAATTTCATGATTAAAAGAATTTGGGAGCATAGTCAAAGAGTTGTGTAAACAAGGCAGTGTCAGTGTGCTTACAGTATTGTTAGTATAATATGTAAATAACAAAAAGGGTCCACGAAATTTTATGGCAAAACACCACACTTTAGCCTCCAATCTGCAGCTTGCTCATAGTAGTTTCAGGCCCTAAAATGTTAGATTATATTTGGGGGATGAGATTTTAAGAAATCCGAGTAGCAAGATTAATCAACCAAAACATTAACATGCATCATTATAAAGCATTTCAACATTAGCTATCATAGGAGAACTAATCTTTTTATAAATAGGCAACCTCAACATGCAAGGCCATGGCAACAAATGTAAGGAGCAACCATATCACAACATCATAGTTCAACCATATAATAGCAAGCATACATGCCATAAATAACAATGTAAAGTTAACATTAATGGCTAATTAGATCCCACTACCTTGATCCAATGCTTTTTGTTTTTCTTGTTGATTGAGCTCAAATTATTCTTATCTTTTCATTACATCATCCATGGTTTTGTTGCATTTTCTGGCTCTTCTATAATTGAGCTTATTTTAGGTTAAGAGTCCATACATTGAGTTAGTGTCTTTTTTAGAGTAAAATCGTCATAATTAGTTATTAATTGTATTCCATTAATTTCTAGGACATTGATGCCTTAAATTGTTACTTTTCAGTGTAGGACACTTGAGATTAGAGCCAAGGTTGAAGACTCAAGGCACAAAGAACAAAAAGAGGAGCCTCTACCATGGTTCGCCGCAGCACACTTCTGCCTTCGCCGTGGTGAACGTCTGCTTTCTAGAATGAAACTCTCTACCATGGTTTGCCGCGGCGAACCCCTCGTATCAGCACATTCAGACCGGACCATTTTGGGAAAATTTGACTTGCCCACTTCCATAAACCGACCCAGACACGTCATATTCGGGTTAGAAACCCTATTTTTAGTATGAAGGAGGTCAGACATGAAGATTCAGCCACCATCTACGTTTTTCTCTTCATCTTCTCTCATCTCTCCTACCAGAACCCTAATCCCTCACCTTCCACTGTCACCTTCATCCATGGGCAACACTGAGTCAACTTCAATAGAGATGTTTCTGCACACCATGAGTGGCTAGGCTTCCTCCAGCTCTTGAAGATGGATGATTGGCATGAGTTCTAAGAGCTAAAAAGGGGAGTTTCAGTTTCATCTTAGTTTTAGCTATGTATTTATGAATTCCTAGGTCTAGGATTTGTAAATTCTTAGTGAAAGACTTTGATTGATATGTAATCATTAGTTGATGATTCATATTTGTAGTTGGATTGGTTAATGTTGGATTTCATGCTTCAATATATGTAGTTACATATATGTTCTTTGTAGCTTTATTGACTCTCTTCATCTTGCATGGTCATGTTTTGATGATGAGTTGATTTTTTGCTGCATTGAACCATTTGCATTAATCATTCTTAATTACACATTAGGGAAGCTTATTAATGTTTTCATTAATGAGTTCCTTCATGTAAGCATTGGACTCAATGAGTTATTAAGGTTGTTATCAAGAAAACCTAATAAATTTCTAAAACTCCCACATCTTAAGAGAACTATGATTGCCAATAGGGGTGGGAATAGGCCAGGCGGCCTGTCAGGGGCCTATAGCCTGGCCTGCTTTCGGCCTGATCAGGCCAAGCCTGTTAGAAAATAAACACAGGCTCAGGCTTTTTTCAAGGCCTATTTCACCTAACAGGCCAGGCTCAGCTCTATGAGAAGCCTATTAAGCCTGTCAGGCGACCTGGGCCTGTTAAGTATTTTAAATATTATATGTACATTATGCAAAAGATAGGTCTCGAAGTTAAGACCTGATGAGAAGAATGCAGCACCTCCACCTCCACCACCAGACCAACGTGTGTTGTTAATATGTTTTCGCATAATATATAAGTTTAAAGCTACTTAAATAAATTGGCAAAAAAATTATTTGCTCCACACAAACTAAGTTCCATCAGCATTTTCGCGGACACACAACTTCCCCTAGGTTTAGCATTTTCGCCTCTGTTCATCGCAACTCGCCGAGAGCTCGCTGGCACCACCGCTCTTCTTAGTTCTCGGAATCTCAGTCGAAGACTATCTCAGATTCAGTTTCTAGAGCTCGTCGGCACCACCGCTCACTCTCAAGTCTCCATATCCGAGCTTCAAAAAGTTGAACGGTCGGCCTTCATTCAGACCTTCGGTGCTCGCGACGTCGGCTCCTCCTCCTCATCAGTCTCCAGTTCTCGCGACATCGACTCCTACTCTAGTGCTCGTGAGTCATAACGTCTGCTCCGATCTCCAGTGGTCGCGGCCCTGTCTCCAGACTCCAGTGCTCGCAAGTCGCAAGTCGCAACATCGAGTCCTCCTTCTGGTCAGTCCCCAGTCCCCACTCCTCAGTCATTATCATAAAATAAATGCCGTGTCTGTTGATTCTGTGCTAAACTGGAAAATTAATCCCCGCTTGAAGTGTTCATTTTTATTCTGCTTTTGATCATAAAATAAATGCTACGTGCTAAACTGGGAGCTATTTTCAAGTGAATTGATCCATCGCTATTTTCTGTGCTTTTGTTCATTTTTATTCTGCTTTTATTAGGCGGGGGTGGAACCGTGGAAGGCAGAGGGAGTTAGATGGGATAGGAATTTTTTGGGGAGGGGAAGGGGGGTGGCCAGAAGAAGAAGTCAGTGAAAGCTGGGAGCTATTTTCAAGTGAATTGATCCATAAATGAATTATACTGTTTGCAGAATTGATCCCCAGTGGTACCATGAAGCGAATACATGATTTTAGTTAATGCTGTACTGATACATGATTTTTTTTTCAATTTATTGTTCTGATTTTTTGCATCAATAATGGAATGCTAATATATGCTGTATGTTTCATTTCCAGTTAATGTCATCTCCGTTTGAGAGTGAAACAATGTCATCTAATTCAGTTCCTTCTAACGCTATTGTGGCTAGTCAACAAACACCAACAGATTCTAGTCAACAAACTAACGAAGGAAATGATGTTAATGATAGTATTATTCAAAAGAAGAGGCGAAAAACCTCAACCATTTGGGAGGAGTTTGATCAAGTTGAAACTGATAATGGGATCAAAGGGAAATGCAAGTATTGTAAACAACTATTCTCGTACTCAGGGAAGGGAGCTAGTACTAGCCATCTTCGAAGACATGTCACTGTCTGTTTGCAAAGAAAGTTGCTTGTTTCTTCACAAAGCAAGCAACCCACAATTCCATTTCAATCTTCCAATCTGAGCATTAATCCATTTTTGACACCGGGTGCTAGATATTCTAATGAAAAGATGAGGGAAATAATAGCTACTGCAATCATGGTGCATGAACATCCTTTTAATATTGTTGAGGATGAAGTTTGGATGTAGGGCTTTCAATATGCAAATTCTGAATTTCAAAAAGTATCTCGAAAGACAGCAAGAAATGATTGTTTAGCGATATATGAGGCAGAGAAGAAACAATTGAAGGCCTTATTAGAAGGTGTGAACAAGATTAGTGAAAGAGAGCCTTTCTGTCGTTCGCTTAGAGGTTCTCGCTCAAAAATTTATCCAAGCTATGCAGTAGAGCAAACTCGGGTCGTTCTCTTTTGGGAGCCTAAATTAGATGTCTAAGTTAGATTAATGCTATGCAGAGTAATGAAAAAGGGGTTTTTGGTGTTTTTAGCCATTAATGAAATGCCAAAACTAAATGCAATGAATACTGATCTAAGTTACTATGTTTTTGGATTTTTCTAAGATAGTGGTGATGAAGTGAAGTTAATGATATGAAATCTCTTGAATATAGCTTTGAAGCAATCATAGTTCAAAATAATTTTGGGAGTAGAAATCACCAAGTCTTCTAATGAAAACCTTAAAGAACCCTTTAAGTCTAGGATCTTAATCAATGTCACTCATTTCATAAGATCCTATTAAGCTCACTTGGTGTGTATTAAGATTAATTAATGCACTTGGTTAAATGCAAGCTCAGATCAACTCAACAATCACACATTACCATGCAAGACAGAGAGTATCAAAAGGGATGCATAGCAACATATATGTAACCACATATATTAAAGCTCAAATTCAACATTAACTAATCCAATACACAAAACAATCATCCAGAATTGATTACAACCATAATCAAAATAGCTCAGCTCAAATTTACAAATCCTAGACCTAGAAATTCATAAATAAAGAACTAGAACTCATAGATGAAGCTAACTCCCCTTTGAAGCTCTTGGAACTCATGCTCCTTCCACCATATTCAAGAGTTGAGAGGCTTAGCTAGTCATAACTCTTGAACCAACTCCAACTAGATAATGTTCTTCATCCATGGTAGCAGCAGATGGAAGAAATGGAAATGGGATTAGGGTTTCTGAGGTGAAAATGAGAGAAGAGGATGAAAGATACGAAGGTGGAGGCTCTATCCTCGTCATCTGCTGTCATCATACCTAAAATAGGGTTTCTAACCCGAAACTTACGTGCATGGGTCGGTTTTGGGGATGGGTAGGTCAAAATTTCCCGAAATGGTCGGGTCTGGAATTTGCTGCTCCGAGGGTTCGCCGCGGCGAAGAATAGGTTCGCCGCGGCGAAACATGGCAGAGACCTGCCTTCACGGATGGGATTTCGCCGCGGCGAAGTGAGATGTGGCCGCGGCGAACCTAGGCAGAGGATCTTCTCTTGTTTCTTTGCCTTGAGTTCTTCAATTCTGACCCCAAATCTTTAGTGTCCTACAATAAAAAGTAACAAATGAAGTATCAATTGTCCTAGAGGTTAATGAATCCAATTAACAACCAATTATGACAATTTAATCCTCAAAATGACACTAACTCAAAGTAAGAACCATAAATCTCAGTTAAGCACAATTTTCACTTAAAAGGACCAGAAAGTATGACAAAAATCATGGATAATGATATGAAAAGAATTAATATTTTGAGCTCAATCAATTAGTTTGACTACTGATATGTGGAAATCAGCTCACCAAGTAGCTGAATACATGGTCATCACCGGGCATTTCATTGATTCGGGATGGAATCTTCAGAAGCGAGTTTTGAGTTTTGTGAAAGTTCCTGCTCCTAGACGAGGCATTGATGTGGCAGATGCTATTTTCAAGTGTTTGAAGAGTTGGGGTATTGAAAACAAAGTGTTCTCTGTGTCAGTTGATAATGCTTCTTACAATGATTCTTGTTTAAGAGCTCTTAAGGACACTTTATCACTTAGTAGTTCATTACCTCTAGGTGGTGATTTGTTTCATGTTAGATGTTGTGCACACATATTAAACTTAATGGTGCAAGATGGCCTTGGAAGAATTAGGGACATTATACATAATGTTCGAGAGAGTGTGAAATATATCAATTATAATGACTCAAGGCTGAAAGCATTTTGTGATGTTGTTGAGCAGAAACGTTTGAAGGAAAGAAAGCTTATTCTTGATTGTCCAACGAGGTGGAATTCGACATATAGGATGCTGTCTATTGCTTTGAAGTTTAAGGTTGTCTTTCCTGATTATAAGGAAAGAGAGCCACATTATAACTATGCACCATCAGAAGAGGATTGGAATAAGGTTGAGAAGATTTGTAAACTTTTAGAAGTATTCAATCTAGCCACCCATATCATCTCAGGTAGTGAGTATCCTACTGCAAATTTGTACCTTCCTGAAGTGTGGAGAGTGAAGCAAGTAATTGACAATGCTATAGAAGATGGTGATTTCTTCATAAGAGAAATGGCAGCTTCAATGAAAGAGAAGTTTGACAAATATTGGGGAGAATGTAATATGCTAATGGCCATTGCAAGTGTTTTGGATCCCAGGTGCAAATTATATGTTGTTAATTATTGCTTTCCTTTGATTTATAAGCCTGATTATGTGGCTTCTGAGAATATAGATAAAGTGGTGAGTGCTTTGAGATCAATGTATGATGAGTATGTAAGCATGTACAAAGGAGACACAATGGGTAATAATAAAGTTGATAATGCTGGTAATAACTCTTCTGCCGATGCATCTGGTTCTTCTATAGTTACTGGATTTGATCAAATCATGAGTATTGTTCGTGAAAAGCAAGCAGTCCCACCAATGAAATCAGAATTGGAAGCTTATCTTGAGGATGGTGTTTACATTCCTGATGGTAATTCTAACTCCTTCAGTGCCTTGGAATGGTGGAAAAATAATAGCATGAAGTATAAGATTTTATCTAAGATGGCTGCTGACATATTAGCTATTCCAATCTCAACCATAGCATCGGAGTCCACTTTTAGTGCTGGAGGTAGAGTTATCGATGAATATCGTTCCAAATTGAATGAAGAATCAATGAAGTGCTTATTTGTGGTGGGGATTGGCTTCGCAATAAGTATGGCTTGAGGAAAAAACCAAAGGTATAAATTTTGTACTGTAAAAGTTATATCGTTTCTTATTCTTCTTACTTCTTAAATTGTGATATGATCTAATATTATACATTTGATTTGTTTTTTTTTGAAGGTGCTCGAACAAGATGAAGAAATTATATTGAAAATTTGATGATTTGCTACTGGTGGCTATTCTTCTTAAACTTGTTTGTAATGTTGTTGTACTTGGTATGTTCTTGTTGAATGTTAATTAATAACATTATTTCAACTTGTATTTTAAGTACTTGAGTTGTGGATTGTGATTTTATTTGAGTTTATTTAGTTGTATGTTCTCTCTCTTTTTTCCTGTTTGGCAACTATGTTTCAGATCACAAGTGGCCTGTTTCGGCCTGTTTAAAGACATAGGCTGTATTCTGTTAAGGCCTGTTCTCGGCCTGTTTAAAGCCTGTTCCGGCCTGTTTAAAGGCTTAAGCCTGTGTTTCAATAGGCCTGTTAGCCTGTTTATAGATTTTTAAAAGATACAGGCCTGTTAACAGGCTTCAGGCAGGCCAGGCTCTTATATAGGCCAGGCTTAGGCCAAAAAAAAGCCTTTAACAGCTACAGGCCAGGCTCAGGCCTATTTGTTACAAATCAGGCCGAGCCTGTTAAGACGATGGCCTGGCCTGGCCTGGCCTGTTCCCACCCCTAATTGCCAAGAGCCCATTTTCAAGAGGTTTTATCAATTGATTCAGTACTTGATTTCCATCCATTTCATCTTAATCTCCCAAAAATCCAAAAATACATTTACATTCTATTGGATTTTATCTTAATTGCAAATCTCAATGAAAACCCCCCAATCTTTTCAACTCAATTTGCATAACCATGGCATTTAGTTAATCTAGGATCTTAATTTCGGCTCCACAAGTGAAACGACCCAAGGTTGTGCCTATAGTACAATCCTTGGATAAATTTTGAATTTGGCCCCAAGGTGTAAGCAAAGACAAGTCAAGGTGATTTTCAAGTGGCGCCGTTGCCGGGGAGCCAAGAAATTGGTTCTCTAGGTTAGCTTGTGTCATTGGGTTGTCAAATGAAGTTTTGATCCTTTTAGGTTGCATTTTAGTTAGTTTAGTTGCATATTTGTTCATAGTATAGGTTTTCATCTTGCATAGCATCAAAATTTTTGGAAATACAAACAAATATACTGATTTTCTACACTTTCAGCATTTTCACTTTGCATCAGTGGTGTCCAGTATCTGATAAGCTTTCTGTGACAGTTCGTCGTGGCCAACCTGTCCTTTCGCCACGACAAACTTTCTGAAAAACCTAAGGATTCCTCTCAGGATACCTTCGTCGCGGCACACTCCTGCTTTCGCCGCGGCAAACTTCCTGCACTCAGTTGTCTGTTCGCCTCTGTCACCTTTTGCCGCGGCCAACCACTACTTTTATCGCGGCGAACTATCCTGAAAAGTTTTGAAACTTACACTTTTTGCTTCTTTTTTTGTGCATACATACTCATACTAATCCATACACTTGCATCCATCACAACTCATACTTTTATCTGACTTTGTGTGCTGTAAGTCAATTTTGTTTGCTCTTACTCTTATGACTCTTTTCTTTCATAACACGAAAAGAAAAACTTGTGCCCTTTAACCCTGAAACTGAGAGAAGACTCAGAGAGATAAGAAGAGAGGAAAGAGTTGAGGGGACAAGTGAGTTAGTGGTTAAACAAGAGAACATTTCTGTGGAATCTAGCCTATCTAGTAGTGAGAGTGAGCCTACTGATCAAGAGATAATGACTGATTTACCACCTAACCACCCTAATCCTAACCCCAATGCCAACCAAGTGAGGAATGGAGGCAATGGAGGGAATGGAGAACAAGAGAGAGTGGGAGAAAACAATGGGAACCCTAAAAGAAGAACAATTAGGGAAGCAACCACATCTAATGTCAATTTTGACCCATTTACTGCTGCTTGTCCAAATTTTGAAGTTAATTTTGAAATTAAAGGATTATTGATTAACTCCCTTCCAAAATTTCATGGCTTGACAGGAGAAGATCCATATCTTCATTTGCAATCCCTTTCTATGATCTGCCAGTGTATGAAGCCTGTGGGAGCATCGTTAGATCAAGTGCTATGGAAGGTTTTCCACCTATCATTGGAGGGAAAAGCTAGAGAGTGGTATATGAGCCT